GGGGCGCGCGCCTGGCACCTCCCCGCGGCCCAAGCGCCGCCCCCTCGCCACCCCCCACTTCCTGCCCCGCTGCCGCCCTCGAAAGTTGCGGAGGGCTTGGTCGCGCGTCCGCTGACATAGCCCGAGAGGCGCCGGGATCTGGGGGCGCTCTGACCCCGAGGCCAGCGACCTCGCCGGTGGAGTGATGGGGGCGTTGTGTCTGTGTCCCCGCGGCGTTCCGCTCCTGACTATCCGGAGGAAGCCCCCATGGTGCTGGGCGCCTCCGCACGGCCGTTAGGGAAGGACTGGCTTAGGAGGGGCCACAGGCCGGGCCGAGGCCTCCCACGCCCCCTCGGCCCGCTACACGTTCCCCTCGGGGTAACGCGAGGCTGAAGGCGCGCGGGGAGGACGCGCCCAGGGCCCCGTTCCCGTCCTCCGCTCTGGGCTGCCCCAGAATCCGCAGGAATCCTCCAAACCCCCACACAGAGGCCGGGATTCCCCTGCTTTGTGACCCAGAGGCCACTCTGGACGCTCACAACTGTCCAGAGGGCAAATCCTGGCATCCGAGAAGAAATATGTGCGATAAGTAAGTGGCAGAGGCGGAAGGAGATGAGGCCAGACCAGGCCCTGGGTCGCGCCAGCCCCCGTGCTGGCCGCAGGGTCCAGTGACCCTGCCCTGAACTCCCGCCTGGGCCACGCCCGGGAGCGCGGCCGTGCTCTCCGCAGCTGGCCTCCGGTGGCGGGGAGGGACTCGAGCACCGCAAGAGCCCATCTGGCAGTGAAACGATGTGCATCCTGGCTCAGCTGTCAGAAGCCCCAGGGTTCCCTCCACTGATACACCAGGCAAGTCTGAGCCCCTCTCTGAGGCGGGCTTAGTTATGGGGTACAGGGTGACCCATCTCAGGGGGGCCGCCCGCCCTAGATACTTGTGGTTGAACCTTGTACCTATGTTAGCTGGGGCAACACTGGACAGTTGCCTCCATGGCCCAGTCCCCCTCTTGCTTTGGCTTTCCTGGTACAGGGGCCAGAGCAGGGGGACACTCCCACCTCACTTCAAACCTAGACAGGGTGCCCTGGGCCCCTGTGCAAAGAGTTACACTTGCCCCTTCCCAAACTGAGGAGGAAGCATGGGGTACGTGGAGAGAGGTGGGGGAGGAGCTGGCCTCCCAGGGCACACCCCAGGCCCCTGGAGGAGTGGCCCGGAGTAGAATCAGGCCAAGTGACCAGTGAGCTCCGTGCTCCCGTCCAGCGTCCTCCCACTGAGGAAACAGGTGTGGCACCTTGGTGAGTGAGCTCAGGAGGGAACCTGTGACCGGGGGGACAGTGCGGGGAGTCAGTCTGACTTGCCTGAGAAAAAGCATACAATCTTGCTGCAGCCCTGAGAAATCGCCAAGTGGGGGACCGAGCCTGAACCCCAGCCCCTCCAGGCTCCACTCCAAGAGCCCGGGCGGGCATTTTCCCCTAGCAGCGCTCCCTTCCTCCCCTGTAGAATGGGGAGCACCCCACCCCATCAGAATCACTTGTGAAGAATGAACAGAATCAAATACCCAGAGGCTCTGCACCACGCTTGGGGCAGAACTTGGCTCCCACAGCCGCTCCCTGGGGGTGCCCTATTCATGGTGCCTCGTAAATGCCAGTGTCTCTCTCCCGCAGGTAGCGCCCTGGGCAAGAAAGGGGCCTCTGTCCTGACTGTCCTTGGCCTTCCTGCCTGGGCAGAGAACCAGCCAAGATGACGAGCCCAGGCTGGGACACAGGCCGCCCCCCTCCCCCCACTTCCACCAGCCAACAATGCAAACTATCATCTGCTGCCCCCTGGTGGGTATGGAGGGCGCTGTCACCACCTGGCTGCCCCTTGTTGGGCAGAGGTTGCCCAGCCAACCTGGGAATAGCCAAGCCAGGAGGCCCAGACTTCCTCACGGTCTGGTCCTGATCCAATCACAACACTTCCCTCAATCTGAGTTTCCTAATCTGGACAATGGGGACAGTCACCACCCTGTGTCCCTCCCAGGGTCCTTGGGAGGCTCTGCAGGCAGGCTGGACAGGACTGAATGAATGAAAACTTGACAGAAACACTTCCTTCAGAACACTTGGTGTGGGTATGGTGAGCAGGCCCACACCGTGTTAACTCAGCATATTTCAGTAAGTGGGGACACCGTTCCAGAACATGTTTCCGCCGCACACATGCTCTCGGACTCAGAGCTGTTTGCCAGGACTGCCTGTGCACACCTCCAGGGGGCAGAGTTCCCATCGCATTCTGTGTAGATGGCACCCCGGAGATGAGCTCACAGACTGACTACAAGTGAACGGTACCCTCGAGGCCCACCTTCAGCACAATCAGTGTAGACAGCCATTTTCTTCAGTGAGGGAGGCCCTGTGCTAAGGGTCAGGGCAGTCCTCAGGAGCAGCGGGGAGCTGGGGCGCCCTGTCCAACGGAGCAAATGAATCTCTGGGGCCAGGAAGCGCCAATAGCAGCCACATACCCCAAAGTATGGAAGGAGGGGCCCCCCCTCCACCTGCACCACCCTTGCCCGTTCAGTCTGTCGTCAGCAGCCAGCCAGGACCGAGTCAAACCTTGGTGAGGCCACCTCGCCTCCTCACAGGGGAGCCCTCACCGGAAGTAAAATCTACGTCCTGCCAGTGCAAGTCCTCCCTGGATGACCTCACTTCCTGCAGCGCTCCAGCCACACACAGCATGCCCTCACCCCAGGGCCTTTGCTCTTGCCATCCCAGCAGAGGGGACGTGAGGCTCACCCCCTCACTGCCTCTGCGACCCTCCCCCGTACCTCTTCTCTTTCCTTCTCTGCTCTTCCCACCTCCGTGCATGTTGGTTGCATTGCTCAGTCTCATCCCCCTAGGCTGTCAGCTCGGTGGCAGCAGGGACCATCTCTGTCCTGTCTCCAGTTCACACCAAGCACTGCAAACTGGGTTCAGCCCATGGTGGGTGGTCAAAAGCCAGGTATTGAATGAAACCAAATGAAATAGCAATGACAAAGCACGACCCTTACGATTTTAGAATGCAGGATATTCTTTCACAGGAGCCACAGAAACGTGTAAAACTGACTCAAAGTTTTAAGAAATAGGCTATCTGGTCTATTTATTTATCTGTAGCATATTTTAACCTCAGTACGTAACACGACACTCCATAAGATTTGCTCTTCATGGAGCACATTATCACTTACAGCTCGTTTTGTTCTAACAGGAATCTGGGCGGTAAGAGCCACCCCCATTTCTCCAGTGAGGCTCCGGAAAGCCTCACAGTTAGAGTGGCTGTTACTGTCCTGAACATGTTGGTGATCTGCCCAGCGTCACCCAGTAGTGTGTGAAGGAGCCAGGTTCAAGTGCAAGGCCCTCCACCCCCAGCACCTGCACAAGCACTCAAATGTTGCTGTTGCAGGAGGTTCCCACCCCTGGAACTGCCTGCTGTCCCTTGCCACGCTGATTTGGGTGGGTAGGTGACTACCCAAAAAGGAAGACGGAAGAAGGAAAAATGCTGCAGGGAGTAGGTGTCTGAAACAGGTAGATCCTGAGTCAGCTGCAAAATGCAGTGCCATAAAAGGTACGCCCATGCACACACACACACACGCACATGCATGCACACGCCCTGCTGCAGAAACGGGGCAGAACGTGGCTGCTGGGGTGACAGCCCATATCTGAGCTGAAAGTGGGAAGGGTATGGAAGTGCGGCCACGCGGCCAGCAGTGAGCTCCTGGAAGCCTGGTGGCTGTCAGGTCTGTGGGGCCTTTATAGTGGGGTCAGGCTGAGAGGCTTCGTGGGAGACACACCTGGGTTTCTTACTCTGCGGCTCTCCCTGGACAGTAACTGGTGTGGAAAGTGTCTGCCAGTCTCTGCTTCTGAGCCCCACCTGCGCTCCAGGCACAGCGCTAAATGCACCCACGCCCTTGGAGATACTACTATTACCTCTGCCTTACAGGTGAAGGTTCAGAGCTGGGGTGACTTGCCCCAGGTTAGGCATTTGGCAGATATAGGGTGTGAGCTCAGGTCTGGATACAGAATCTGTCTCCTACGTGCCTCCAGCTGAGGACTTTGCTTTCACTTCTGCTGATGATAATGAGGTTCAAGGGCAGCAGCACAGGGGTGTCTGAGCCCACAGGCCTCCTGGGCTCCCATGGGGTCACCCTCAGAAGTTGGAGTCCAAATTCCCAGAGCTCTGGGAATTGGCTGTGAACAGAAATGTGTGGGTCCTCGCGTGCTGCTGTGATGCGTATGCTGGAGGGCTCTCTCCGCCTGTCCAAACATTTGGGAACATTCCTTCCCACACAGGCCTCCTCAGAGAACCACACACAGCCAGGGGCTTTCTCAGCCCAGGTTTCCTCAGCCAACGCCAAGAGCTGCCGCAAGGTCTCGGTGCTTGTCGTCAACAGGCCCAAGGCTGAAGGGGTCTTTATTCCATAGCCAGGGTTCCAGGGAGATACTGAGAGATTTGCCT